GCTGTTGCTGTTGCTGTTGTTGCCGCCTCCTGCCAACACATTTAAGAATACGACTGCCCAGAACTCGAGCTGTATATTGCTCTGTGGTCGTCGTTTAGCATCCGGGCATTTCCCTAAAACCCTAAACCCTAAAGCCCTAAGCCCAGTACAGTCGACCCGGAGCCACGCCTCGTCAGGACAGCGCTCACATGTCCCCGGACAGCAGCTCCGAAGACTTTGACGGACTGCAACCTGTTTAGGAACGGGTCGGGCAGACTTTCAGCAGTTGTTTTGGGGGGCAGTTTGCCGGGCAGGATTGTGCAGAGGGAGGGACAGGGCAGAGCGAGAAAGGGAGAGACCGGATCTTGGACTCTTGAATATGGGGCTGAGCGTTCGGGGCTTTGGGATCTCATGTCTCCGGCCGGCGAAGTCACAGTTTAGCATGTGGATCGGGCCCCCAAAATCTAAACCCCTGCCAGATTAGATCCCTTGCTGCAAGACAAGACATGGTGAGTCATTCTCGTTTCCGCTACGTGAATCAGTTAAGCATCCTGCGCAACCCTCAGCCCTAAACTGCCGTGAGCAAGCTTGCAGGAATGGACACAGAGGTCTTGCATTCTCGCTCGAGTGTTCGCGAGATGGACTCAGTGCTTCGAGGGACCATGGAGGCAGTCTTCTTTAGGGAAGTAGAGCTTGCGTTGCCGCAGTTTCAGGTGTATGCAGTTGTTTGAGGTATCAGCTTGCTCATTAGAGGTGTTTCGACTCAAGGCTGCGACTTACGACTCTGCTTCACAAGGAGATGGGTAAACCTTGAGTGCTCTCACGAGCCGCAAGATTCGAAACCCCAGCCGCCATAGACGCGGAACAGGGCTCGCAACCTGATCTCGAAAGTCTGGGTTTTAGGCACAAGCGATGTGAATCTCGGAAAGCAAGCTTTCAAAGTTACGGGCCTCGACCCTGAGGGTTCTTTGGGCCAATAAGCCTGAAGCTAACGTGGGGTTCAGGGCCACGCTACCCGGTTTTGGGAAGTCTTCTGGGACGCAGGAAGGCTGCAATTCAAGATCCGGCGTGGAGTCGATCTCAACCCTCACGACGGCCCTTGCGTGAAAAAACTCCCAGCCTCAAAGCCTGCACAGCAGAGAGAAGTGCAAGCCATTGATAGAAGCTCCAAACATATTGCAATTTATGGTAGTGCTATTTCTTTTCTGCAAATCGAACCGGAACAGAGACCCCTGGCGGGCATCGTGGCGGCACGAATTTGTTTTGGCCAGGCAGCAGTTGCAGTTATGGTTGTTGTGGCCAGAAGTAGTCGCCGTGCTAGTAGTAGTAGTAGTAGTA